CGTTTGCGATGGCTCTAACACTATATCCCGTGTACAGTTGCCGCAGGTATACAACTATGATGACTGATGGTCTTCTAACCCTAGCAAGACCGTTTCTTGGAGCTAGGTTTTGCGATAGCTCCAATGAGTGTATTGTAAATAGGTGTTTAAGTGTACATGTGCTCGCGTATAGAGCATCTGTACTATGGCTAGCTCTAGTACTATAGCCCGCGGATCGCTGCCGCAGGACCAGCGAATGGCAGCGATCCGCGGGCTATAGTACTAGAGCTATACTATGGCATGCCAATACTACTGGTGTACTCAAGATTCAAGATTCAAAGATGTTATTTGTGCATACGACATACATACATACAGTGTACAACAGAAGATATGAGAATGACAGGTCACAAATACATGGTTTGACAGATGAAGCATGGGGGTGGCGAAGGATCCGAAGGTCATCAAAGTCTGCCACCCCTGAAAAGATTAGTTCGTAGATGATGTTAGTTAGGCAGCTGATGTACTAGGCCTAATGGTAATAATCTAATATGATTAGTAATAGTTTCTAGCTCATCTATTTGTATTGCTTTGTGTATTCCTTGCATGGTCACATTAACATACGTCTGCATATGCATACCCAACTTTATGCTGGGTAGTCCATGCAAACACGACTAGTGCCTAGCGAGTTCGTTAACTCCAGGTACACGTGAATAAATTCTAGATTACACTGCCGTTTCCCAGAAATTGGAGAATCAATGTCAGGGCCACACACTAATGGTGGTTGGCGGCGGGGGAGGGGGGGTAGTATGCTACACTAGTGGGTAGTAGAGCAGAGGTGTTGTAGCTCTGCCCAGCCGAGGTAGAGTTGAGGTGTGCTATTCGTGGCTTAACAGCTACACATCCTGACTGTCTGTTACGACAGAGATCCGGTGAACTAAACTCTGCTAGTTGTTAGAGTAGCAGTGATGCGCCCCAGCAACAAGTTACAGCCTTTTAAGTATGTTTTGGTAAGTAGTAGCCGATTGATTCAGCGCGATGATGTTGGAACCTGCCACCTGAAAGTAACTCATTCCTAGTCGTTTGTTATCTATAAAAAACAGGTGTGTTAAACTTATTAAATAGTATTACCTGCCAAAGTGATATATAGCTGTGGGGTTACCCAGCATTGTCCAGATGATAACAGTGCTATGGGTGGTGTATATAGTAAAGTTCTATCAAATTGAATTGGAAAAAAACACAAGAATTATGGCAAGGTTTTTGTACTGTCTGGCTGCAGAATAATGTCAAGTACTGGGCTTTGTAGCCTAAATAATTCATCATAGATACACATATTTAATTATGCATGCGTCATTAGTTTTACTCTTATAGAGGCGTGTGTGTGTGTGCGTGTGCGTGTGCGCATGCACACGCGTGTCTGTGTGTGTGTGTGTGTGTGTGTGGTTAAACTTCTTTTAAATTCAAGTAAGGCGTTTGTGCTGCACACATGGAAACGGAAACGTGGCTGTGTGATCGAGCTTACACTACAGCGAAACATATTCAGCGTTACAGGCACACACACAGACATTGAGCTCATTGCTTTCACGTGGAGCCATCTGGTGGAGGTATTTATTATTCAGTAACTGTAGGCAGTTCCAAGGCCTGTCTCCCACTTAGCAAATTCTCAAGACGAATTCATGTTTCTATTTTTAGGAGCATCCGATATTAAAGCTAGGGAATGCATTTCAAACGTACCGCATTGCTGGTGGCAAAGATGAGATAAGGTTCTGCTAATGTGCTGCTATGATGTACTTGTTGGCTGAAGCGTACGTAGCTGCATGAGTAGTGTGCGCGAGCAGAACCTATCGAGAATATTAAATACAGTAGCTAGAAGGGCTGAGTTATCTGCAGTAGCTCGAATGGTGAGTTATCCACATTGGTCTGGCGTGGAGTGATGTTCTAGGCCTGTTTAACGGGCAGCGTTTCTGAGACGGACTGTGTGTATGTGTTCGTGGGCACATATATTGCAGGTGCGTGTGTATTGTGTGTGCGTTCGTGCGTGCATGCATGTGTGCGTGTATGTACGTGCATGTGAGCATGGGCATGCATAATATCAGGGGTTAATAATGACAAATTTGTCATTATTAACCCCTGATAATATTGATGTGCATGCATGAGTGCGAACGAATATGGTATATATATATGCATCATACAAGTGGGTATCTAACCATGTATTAATCTATGCATGTATAGGTGTGCGAGTCAGAGTGTGTGCATGATGTGACTGCATGCATGGGTGTGGGTGTGCGCTATCTATGTTGCATATATATCATTATGCATATATGCTAAGCCACACACACACACACACATATACGTTCATACCTTGTATTTTTTTCCCAAGATGCGTAACGCACTATGTTTTATGAGCGTGGAGTGTTGAGCGATAGTGCATGTACACTGACTTCCCCCATCCATCGCAGTAGCCGAGTGAAATTCCCCGATCTCGTGGAATAGCATGTTCTTTCTAATTTGCGATGGGTCACAACTCAAACGCTGCGCATTACAACTACTACGTAACTGGCTGCAGTGCCTAGCTACGCACTTCATGTGCCTGGCCCTCGGCATTAAACCTTCACTTGTACTAAGCACAAACCACTACAAGTCAGACTGGGAGAGATTCAGTGAGGTGTCTGTATAGTAATACAGACTGCGTGCATCACTGGTGGTGTCAAAGGTGCAACCAAAACGGTGGCAACTCGGCTGGTCAGTTGTGCTGTGTTTTGTGAGGAGAAGCTGTGCTGGACTTCACCGCTGGAGTTTGGTCTCTCTGCTCATGCCATCGTTTCCTTTCATTTCCTATCGTGTCCATCCATCCCAAAGTCATATCGTGTTCGTTCAGACTCCAGTGCTTTGCGCAGCTAACTGCACGTTCGTTGGCTGTTAGCCTCTTGGAGTGGATTGGTGGTTGCATATAATTAGCCATCATTTATCAGAGATAAAAGATTCGCAGAGCTGCGAGCATGGAGCATGCCGTGGCTCTTGTTCATTGAAGAAGAGTGCTAAACTAAGAGTAAGATTGTTTTTGTTTTGCAACGAAATGGATTAAAATCAATAGTCCTTTTTAAATGAGTGGGAACGTGAACTTTTATTTTTGGTATGACATCATGGAATAATTTTATCTAATCTGGCAGCCATCCAACTGCCTGGTTGCGTTGTGCGTATAGAATTTAATTAAACCCAAGGTTGCTGTTGATATTCATCATTAATTAGCTCAGCTGACGAAGTCGGATGCAGCTTGTAGAATCGCATGAATGTTCGTGCGTCCGTCCGTCCGTCCGTGTGTCAACAGTTGGGCACAAATCTTTACCGCTCGGCGTACGGTCTTGATATTTGGGACGTGGGGGGGGGGGGGTGGGTCGAGAAGGGACCTCGGGATGTCAAATATTGGGGGTTAAAGGGTCAAAGGTCAAGTGTGTTAATGGAGGGGAATATTTCCCCCTTAACTTAAGGGTATAGGAGAAATACGGAATTGCGGCACAAATCTCAATGGCGTTGACCTACGCTCTTAATATTCAATGTATAGTGTGATGGAGAGGGAAACCCATCACCAGCGCGAAATTGGAGGTCGACAGGTCAAGGCAGTGGGGGAAAGGGTCAGATATCATACATTTTCTGAGGACATGGTCTAACGGCCGAGTGAAAAACTTTTTTTGTTTCAGCGCTGACATACCATTTTTATCACTATTGAAGGACCATGAAATGTGCTTTCGCTGACGTGGCAAAGAGTAAGTGTCTGATAACCTTTTTGACCTCAAGAGAGGGAGGTAATACGGATTTGTTGACTGTTAACAAAGGACTGAACTGCTTTTGCTATTAAGAGCCCCTCACTGCACCTCTCCCCGTCCCTCCCACCTCAACCACCACACCACTAGCGCTCGCGCTCAACGCATATCCATTGATTAACATGTTAATATAGAGCGACTCAATTAGAGACACAAGCTGTATCTTTCAAATTTACCTGTTTACCGGTATAGACAAGCCTATATGATTTTTAGATGCTGTGCTTAGTAGTATACCTAGTATATGCTCTGTCAGAGCGCAAAACGCGAGGATGGTGGGGGAGGGCGCACTTGATTCGGGTTGCGTGAGAGTTTATTCAGAAAAATACCCGCTCAGATTGAAGTCGCTGTCACTCTGCGGCACTTGTTAATTTAATTCGGGTTTATTAATTAATACTACATGCCAATGATTAAGTACTCTTCCGCGCTTTAGAAATTAGAGGTTATAACAAGAGGTTATAGTAAGAAAAATGAAATTTTGAAAAATTGCCAGCGTCCATTAAATAAAATGTTTACATTCACTATTCATCGCTAACTTGGTAGGTCTCGTTGCAGTAACTAATGTTGAAGGGAGAGTGTAAATTATATATATTTATTTATTTATTCATTTATGTAAGTTGGCTGTGGCTTTAGCAGGTGCAAAGGTTGTACCCTGTGCTGGCAACGTGTGCTGTGTGCACCGTCTTACCATCATGTCACACGTTTCAAACTTCTGGTAGGGAATTGTGAAAATAATCTTATATGATTTTAGTCTGGGTGTTTTCTATATATATATGAATGAATCTTCGTGTAAAACTGTTGTCGGTTTCGTTCTTTATCAGTATTGCCTATCAAATTCAAAGAGTTTTACGTTTACGCCTAGTTACATAGAAGCTCGATATAGGGTGCGTCGAATGACTATTTGTTATTACATCAGGCAGTAGATATCAGGGCAGGAGTGTGACATCAATAACAAGGGAAATTCGTCATTTAAATAGCTTATAATAGACTACGATTTACTACGCGTAATCAATCCACTTGAGCTCAATACTCGGACACAGTAATTCGCAATCATCGATGCGATCGTTTCCTCGTAGACACCCGCAATCCGGAGATACAGCTAAAGCTCGACACGTTCTCATTTCTTTTGGCCTCATCCAGCCCATTGCGGCCTATTATTTCAAAACAAAAGGCAGCTAGCTAACGCAGCTATTTGCCTAAATGCCGAGCAATGTGGGCAGTGCTGGGAGATTAGGCATCAAACAACTCGGCGAAGATACTGTTGCCAGCGAATACAGTTACACAGGCCACCGTATGTAACATAGCTGGCATTGCCTGTCACGCACGGCGGCAACCGCCAATGATTAGCCTCGTCGGTGTAGTTGTGTCGATTCATCTTCCCCAGGAGCCACAAACGCCACATTCAGCTAGTCGAAGAAGGAGCAACACAAGCGAACTGGCGACAGGCAATGTTTGACTGCCTTTTGTCTTGAAGTTATAGAAGCGCGCAATGGGCTGGATTGAGGGCAAAGATGGAGAACGTGTCGTTCGATTTTAGGCTGTATCTAGACGGATTGCGGGGCGTGTTTACGAGAAACGATTTTAGCCGTGATTGGCCGAATGTCTGTGTTCGTTTGAGCTACAAGTTGGATGAGTTAACGCGGTGTAAATCGTAGGTATTATCAATGGCTACCCATAGTAAATGACGAATTTACCTTGTTTATTGTGGTGAGGTCACACTCTAGCTTTATACTTTGGTATACATGTACCTAAACTCCCTCAAATGAGGTTCTGTGTTTCCTTGGTTAGGTTGGTCATTCTATCAGTTATTGTGATACCTGATGATACATTTTTCTAAAATAACCCGTCTTTCCTTGAATGAGGTTGGCCGTTCGACCAGTTATTGTGATACCTGGTGATTCCTTTGTGCGATATTAAATTAAAAAAAAAAAAAAAAAATAAAAAAACAAAAAAAAAAAATGAAAAAAAAAAAAAAAAAAAAAAAAAAAAAAAAAAAAAAAAAAAAAAAAAAAAAAAAAAATGCATGTCAACATGCTCACCTTACCTAAATCAATGTAAATATTGAATTAGAAATGCTATCAGGCATATGGGTGTGTCACTCTCTAGCCTATCAATGCTTAGAGACCATGCGCACACGTTGTCAGAAACATCTTAGAGTTATATCATTATATGATTAAAATGGTCCCCATGATTCCACAGCCTAGGCCATAATAAAATTATTCGTTTGTTCTGCCCACACCCGACGACCCAGCAAAAACAAGGAGGCGACTCATTTGTACATTGATCTTTGCATTATTTTTTTTTTATAATATGTGTCAATGTAAATATTCATATAAATATGTAGGCAATACATGATATGCGTTACAAGCAAAACAAACATTCACATTAAAAGAGTATACTCATCACAAGCGCAACCGAGCATTGTGAGGACATCATGCTGATTGTAACAAGACCCCTTAAAAAAAAAAGAAGCCTACCTACCTACCCAACGGTTTTCAGCCTGGTCGGATGAGGGCAAACAAGATATATTTTAGCTCATCTGACATAGTCAGATGCACGCTGTAGATGCAGAGAGCGGTGCGTCCGTCCAGTCGTGCGTTCATAGTTGGGACATGGCTTGACCGTTGACGTTCGGTAGAATATTCGGAGACGTCAGGCGGAGATGTCAAACGTGTTGGAGGGATGTCGAGCTGGGGGTAAAGGGCAAAGAGGTGTAATTATGAAGGATGGAACTTCCCTCCTTACTTAGTGTATGAGGGGAAATTGCAGAATTGCGGCACAAATTGCTAAACGGACTCGACCTAGGCTGCGGACTAGTCGGTGTACTACGTCATGTAGAGAAAAGCATCACGTGTGCCCGAAAATTGGAGCGTCACAGCGATCAAAGGTCATACATGGGCACGGGCAGCATTTTAGGACATTTCTGGAGGACATGTTCTTATGGAGCGATTGAAAATGATTTTGTTGTTTCAGCAGTGGAACTGCATTTTTATGGCTTTATTGAATAGCGACCATGAATGTTAATTTCTGCGAATGCCGAAGAGTAAGGTGATCGGATTAACCTTTTGGGGGGACCCTCAAGA